TCTCACAAAAAGTCGCTAATGTGACGTTCAACGCGATATTGGAGATGTTCACGATGGCCATGCCAATCATTTTATTTCTGTGGGTTCCTCTCTGCGCAAGACCGCGAAATGACCCAATCATCCCAATTTATCGATTCGTTAAATCATGTATGGCAGGTTAGGACCTGAGATATTTCGGCGTCAGTTCGGCATGGCACAGGCACGAAATCTAGCAGATCTGATGAGTATCTGATGCATCCGATGGCCGGCAACTGGACTGAGATTCGGAAGTGTGGCCATCGCCTTCGTGGCGGCATCGATGCACCCCCGTTCAGTTTCAAGGAAGGGTGCTAATGGTGGGCGTAGAGAAACTGCGTCATTACGACAAGTGAAACGCTCCTTCGTATGATTGGGCTCCAATACGGAGTAGTAGACCGCTGTTTCTGCTTCGAAGCGGAGATTATCATAGGATCCCCCCCTGAAAGAGTGGATTCTTGCATCCAGAATCAGTACCAGTATTGCTCAGACGACCTCGAGCGGCGGCCGTGGTAATTCGTGCGTATCCCTGGTCGCTATGGCCACGGTTAACTCACGGTATCGAGCACAAGATATCGGCAATAATAACATTCAGAACGGAGGACCGTCCAGAAAGGCAAGTGGTGCTGCGAAGTGAAAGCCAGTGCGAGTAAGAGAAGCAACGATCGAAGAGACGCCAGACGTTTGATTCACTGATTCTGAGCTTATAAGGTTCTACACCTGAGGCAATACGTGTGAGAGAAAAGTAGCCTAACGAGGATTTTCAAACCTTCAGAGTCGACAACCCTACAGCAAGAACCACATGATTTGCAGGTTATCCAGATGCATGCAATCGAACATAGGGCCCAGAGGGACAGTAGCGACCCCGTACGTTGGATCGCCAACGACCCTCTGGAAACTTTACGTGAAGAACCTGGCGCGCAAGGGGCGTTGAGGTCGCGAACTGCTTCTGAATATTAGCTGTATATTGCCTCAGGGGAATCAATCTAAGCAATCAAAATAACTAAAAATTAGTATGCCGAAGGAAGATCAGTTGAGACCATAACTACCACCTAAATACATTGCGAGGCAGCTTTTTGATGTAAAAGGTACCAAGGGTCGTCGGAGTGCACAGACATTTGATGGATTCCAAAAACCGCATAGCTCCTCCGTCGTCGGAGACAAGGTGGTCACGGGTAAACAAACAACCACGCGCTGAACCATTTATGGTCGCCACGAGGCGAGGACGCTAGAAGGAGTTTTAATTGTGCTTCGAGACACAAAGCTTGTTAAGAAGATGTTGCGGAAGAATGCACGAAAGGCAATGACTGGAATTTTCTCGCAGTTTATACGAGTGACGCTTCGGCGCTCAAGAGCTTGCTGATAATCTTGTCGATTCGACAGCATAATCATAGAAAAGGGGAGCACCTGGCATTGTCTGGACAACCTGGATCCTCTTGAGAGGTTCATGCCGTATAATGATCAGCAACCTTTCCAAGAAAGCGGCTGAGTCTCAAGCGATGAAGCGAGCCGGAATACAGGGCCCGTTTTCGATCTCCGCCCGGGGGCCAGTTTCCTGGTACTTATCCTCCACCACAAATCGTCTTGACCCGCGCGTCATGCCTCCCTCTGCCCACTACCAGAGCGCACTTACTCGCGACGAGCAGATAGCGGCGAACCAGGCGACTCAGCCTACCTTTGACTACATCAATGAGCACATCGCCTTCAACGACGGCCCATTCGCCGGTGAGTTGGCCTGCTCGGTACCCTCGAGGCCGGTGACCGATCGTTTCCCCATCCATCCAGGTCGTATAGTCCGCGCTGAACTCATCGGTGAGCGCGCCTCCGACTTTTGTGTAGTGTCCAGCGCTCAATTTTCTGGCATTACAGAAAAGCAGAAGCCAGATTTGGGTCGAAAGTAAGTGAGATCCGTGCACGTGTTAACCCGGATTCTGTATTCAATTTTATTTTTCTCATTTACGAAGATTCGCAAAGCGCGACCGGCGACCTCTGGACCCGCCGCCTGTGGCCCAAGCACGGTTCTTCGAGCTCAAAACTAATCAAGAGACAGGGGAGCAACATGAGGAAGAGCTCATGGAGGAGTGAGTGCCTCTTATCTGATCAGATAATTTTGTCAATCTGATTTTAGGCACGGCGTCTTCAGGGATATTCCAGAAGCAGGGCTGATTTGTTTTGTCGACTTGTTCCCATGGAATGATGGATCCGAACCTCCTTTCCGTCCTCTGGACCGTTCTTCACCAGAAGGCATTCAGGCAGACTCGTCCAATAATGCTTATCCATCGACAAGCATTGCCAATCCAATGTCATATAACGCTGGCTATTCGTCTGACCCTCCGCCTCCCCGCGTCTCACCTCCCGAGGATACTAAACTGGCTGGTGAATTGTTTGGTTCGAGATATATTCAAGCCATTAAGATCACGGATTCGGGAAGTGGGATGAACATTCTTTTCCCGTTTCCTGTATGTTCAACCTTGCGTTTCAACAAGCTTTCAATTAATTCTCCCTACAGGATATTTCCGTCCAGATCGAAGGAAGGTATGTCGCTTCTAACTATGTCGAAACTCAACTCATAGCATTCTGTATCATAGATTTTTCCTTCGATATCGCATGTTCCTCCTTCCATCGTGAGTTCTCGCTCTACTGCAGCCCACTAGATGTCTGATGCCTTTCAGTATTCCAAGCATCTCTCTTGATGTTCCGATCATGGCAGAAGCTCTGGGATCGCCATTTACCGTCTATTCTACCAAAGAGTGGGGTGTATTAAGCATGCTACGCTACCTATTCTCACATCTTTTGATAGGTTCCCTGGTCTCAAAGCTTCCACTCCCTTAACCAAGGTAAGCAATGCCATTTATATTATAATCGAACAACATGCGTACTTATCAGAAATTCCTTAAATCTCGTCTTTTCCTCCGTCAGCTTCTGTCTGCATTTGGGATCAAAGTCAATTCTCGCGAAGCCGAACGTCGTCGAACCCCTCGCCGTCGAAGTGGGAAAGGAGGGCGTGACGATGACGACTCTTCAGGCCAGGAAGGCGGCCATATGAGCACTTCACCATGATGGCCTGTCATGACCACATCGAGTTTGATCTTCTTTAACCTTAATTGCTTGTTTTCTTCAACCGTCCTTTTACTCTGCATTACTGATTTTACAGCATTCCTCTTGCACCATCCACTTCACGATCCCCTTTATAATTGACCATTGCATATTTACCGTTCTCACCTTCCGCCACATCATGATTACACCTACATCCTCATTTTCTCTTTTCGAGACCGGCATAACGATTTGTGACGTGAAAGCTGAGGAAACCCCGACATCCCGTTCCAGGGGTATAATGACATCATATAACGCTTCGGCCACGAACACCTGCTACAGCGGAACAGTCCGCGCCGGCTCAAGCCACAATTCGGAACGAACAAAAGTCTTAGTAGTAGATCGAAGCAATAATTTACCCTAATACAGTTTAGACTTGAAATGACAGCGTCAGCGTCAATACGCATGCATGACTATGACTTTGCGCAACACCACGAAACCCAGAGACCGAAAAATCCCTGACCGCAATGTGATGACGCATAATTTGCACCTACACATCGCGACCATTTGACTTTGTCAGGGGTGGTAACTGCGGTAACGTTTGCTCTGATCATCGAGAGTCAGGTCGCCGAGTTTGCGGAAGCGAATTCAAGTTCGCAAAGGTAAGGGCTCACGAATTTGCAGAACATGTCACGATGCTGCCGCTGCCATAGTGAGGACCACACCATGAATTGGTGTTCCCCGAACCACTCGGGGAACTATCGAGAAACGCAACGGGAGAGCAGCTAGCATTCACGAGAACAGCACTCTGGAAACAGCAATCGATGAGATTGGCCTTGCTATCCCAGCACTCGCACTCACCGAAAGGTCGGCCGACGAATAGCCTCCGATTCCAATGTACCCTGATGGACATCCTGCAACATTCAGCGCATGGGTCCGGTGCAGAATCGTCAAGATGACGAAGAGAAAGACGAAAGAATATCGAAACAGCGAGAGCGACATGAGAGAGGAGAAGAGGGGGTCTCTTTCAATGGGCGAGGGGAAAGTTGGCCGGGCAGAGAGGTATCAAGTTTCAGCGGGGGACCTGAGAGGTGGGTTGACCCGGGCTTCGGCCAAACAGTGATGGTGGCTCAGATGTGCCATCCTTTATATGTCGAATGAGGGTCTGTAGGGCCAAGAAGTTGCGAGTCTATACGCTTCGCATAATTAACAAGAACAATTAGATGGGACGATCGGCCACCGCCTTATATGGGTTCGGTGCCACATTTCTCTTCACACCGAGTTCCGAGATCTGCGTCTGAGAGAGATTGTGAAGAGTCGGACTGAAGGGAGAGGTTGAGAACAAAAGCTGACAGGATATATTTCGCCGAATGTTTCGGGGTTCTTCGCGCGGTAGGATTCAGGACTCAGGAGGTCATCGGCGAAGGTGGCGTTTTGCATTTGGGAGGTGGTGTGGCACTGTGGATAGACAGACTGATGAATCAAAATTTGCTGAACATGGATTAGCATCTGATAGTGGCTCGTTCGGGGGTTTGCAATAAGCACTGGCAAGCACATCAGGTCGTGTCGACCTGCGCTAGCTGGTCAATAGAAATGTCCGGAGCCTTGTGATTTGTAAGTCGTGATTTATTTGTTGTCTCAGATATGAATGTGAGCGAGGTGGCATGAAGGGGGAGGCCCCTCCAAGTTCGTGCTCGAACAATTAACCAGATCTCGTTAATTATTATTATTATTGAAAAAAATTAGACGTGCGATCGAGAGAAGGCTTGCAAGCGTGTGGTTGTTCAGTCAAACAGTGAGAAAAGCACAGGCCAAAGTTCAGAGATGGAATAGAGTTGGTGTATATGACGGTGGTTCATTGCAGCTAAATAACAGACTCGAAAATTTCATTGGCTATCTGGGTTAAATTCAGTGAAAAGTGATAGCTGAAAAAATTTGGGCGCTTACAACTGGGCGGAATAGCTCAGTTGGGAGAGCAGCAGACTGAAGCGCAGCTATTTAATCTGAAGGTCCCCGGATCGACTCCGGGTTCCGCCAGTAATTTTTGTGTGATTTAATGGACTCCAGGGTCGGTTCTGGGCCCGTAATTTCAAGAAACGGACACGAGGCGGGGATATTCGGCAACTCCCGCAGCTGAGCTTGAAAAAAAATCTCCGTCCCGCCGCGGCGCGTTGTTTAGCCATGTTTTGTTCTTCCTTTCTGGCGCGCGTTCAAAGTGGCCGACGGCTGCCCGAAAGCGAACTATAGTCCTATCAGTGTTCAAAAATACGTCTCGGCATTCCTAGTGGCTCCTTCAGTCATACGGAGCTGTCTCTCGATTTTGTTTCAAAAACATCTGATCCCGTTGGATTGCTTCGATCTCAGGCTGCCGATGGGAACGCAAAATGTCGTCCGGCTCATTGGCTCGCGTGTCTGTCGTCTTGAGTTTTGATGTGAGCTTTGTGGCGTCAATCGATGAGACAAGTGAGCAGAGTTGTGTGATTCAACTGAGACGTGAGCCTCGTGAGGTTGCATTTAACCAAATCAGCCCACAGGTCCGAGCGTTTCACGAGTGAACTGGTGCTATTAGTGCACGCAACGTTCTAATGGAACGGGTACGACAATGCCACAAGACATTTCATCAAAGTCCTTGACGTGCTTACTGTAGGTGACCTCCAATAATATCCTGTGCGCATGGGACACTTGCACGTTTGTGGCAATCGTAGTCTGGGTCGTGGCGCAGCACACTGGATGTGCCATGGTATGGCCTACAATGCGTTTGATGAGTGAATGTGGTGCAAACCAAGGTACGTCCCACAGGTCCCACAGTCTCTATTGATCTGAAACTCTATTCCAGGGGCAATGTGAACATTACAAGGCTTCAATTATTTCCTTCGAGTCTTGATGGGGTGCTCTAGATTACGAAATAAGCGCATCGACATTGCGTTTGCTTGAGCTTAGCCCTACTAACAGCCAATTCAAAAGAAGGCTTTAAACGCTTGATCCCCAGAACCTATCTATGTGTAGCATCGTGGACATACGGTTGTTCAAACATCCATTCGGGGGCCATTTGTCAGCGAGGGCTCTACGACTTATTTCCCCACATGGACTCGGACAAGGTTATCTCTCTTTTGACGATCAGGTTGGGGACTCGAACGGTACCCCTGATTATATTTAGCGTCTCCCGCGCCGCCGTATGCGCCGGATCTCCGATAGTGGCACTCACTAACCACACTATGGGTCATCTTCACCAACCCCGATGGCATCGCGATACTGGTCAATGTGAAAATATGTCGACTTCCTATCGTCAGCGTGGGATGTGCATCTAGATCGCGTCTGTGTTTCATCTATATGTTCTATATTGTTTTCCCTACTTGCAAGGGAGGGTCACAGTCGCTTCATGCTATCAGGGTCGTTTCTTGCAGTGGTCCCTGGATGACTCGAATCCCTGAAGGCTCTATGTTCTCGTTTGTCTAAGTCTTGTCCTGAGAATTTCCGTCTTGAACCTCTTTGCGTTGGAGCCGGGATACAGCTTTCCCATGACAACCAGGGGCTCAAGGGAATGCCGCATTCCCACAAAGCAAAAAATCTCCGCCATAAAGACGCAGTGACGGTTCGCCGTACGTCACATTTTGAGCTGAAGGGCCGTGATAATCAATGCACCTCCGGTGAAGCGGGTTTTTGTAGGAGGACCATGCTGCACGGTGTGCGTCCATCAATATGACAGTATGGGCTGCCTCAGAGTGGTCCATTCAATGTTCGCACGACGTCATGCAGTGGATGAAACACAGTCTGTGTTGCTCTATTCGAGCACGAAACGAAGCTAGATCTCGCTCATTACAGTTTACCCTCTCGGTGCTCTCAACAAGGTTTCGGCCGTTCTCTCAAGATTGGCGTGCACATTCTCTCACGTGGTCCTAGATTGACGACGCTTGCCCTCTAGGTACTAAGTGTATTCCTCAGAGATTAAGCGAAGGGGTCGAGATCGTACCGCACTATCACTTGGCTTGTGACGTGCGTAAAGCACTTGGTCTTTCTTCGCAGTACCTGACTGTCGACGGCTGGGCGGTTTGATGCTCTGAAATTGGTTCGCACGTTGACAAAGATGTGTTCCCTCGTCAAAGCACTGGCTCTTGTACTACAGGGTATCACTACCGTATATATGGATTTACCTCTTCATATATAAGCTAGTCAATACAGACAGACATTCTCCATCGACCAGTCTCATCTGACCAGTCCCTCCCCGACGACACCTCATTCTCACCTCGGACAACATGTTCACAACCTTGAAGGCGTTAACAGTCGTTGCTACTTCGTTCTCAATCTGTTCCGTCCTCGGGGCAGCGACCACCTCGGACGGCGGTGTCATCATCACCCTTCCTCCCAGATCAACGGACGTCGGCATCAAGAAAGTCCCCGGTAAATATTTCTCGTAAATATTTGAACACAATGCTGATCCAATACAAAGACGCTGCTCATCCTTTCATCGCTCCTGGACCCAACGATCAGCGTGGCCCTTGCCGTAAATACTCACAATCAGCACAATGTCACACAATATAATTAACAGGTCAACAGCTGCCTTGAATACGTTGGCCAACCATGGGTACCTTCCTCGCGAGTAAGTTCAAGTCGGTGCTCAAAAGTACCGTGGCCTGATCGGATGTTTCCTTGCAGCGGCATTGCCTCTTTTGAGCAAATCCTCGCTGCCACTCGGGAAGGCTTCAATATGGACCGTGACCTCGCGGGCTTCCTTGCCGGCTTCTCCATGGTATGAGCCCGTGCTGTATTTTCCCTCACCGAAACATTGCTTACGTGACCGCACAGATGGCTCGTGGAAATGCGTTCCTGAACAAGCTTTCGATTGGTTCGATCTCGCCTCAGATTCCCGTCGTTCCTGGAGCCATCGATGGCCCCGCTCCCCCCGGAGGTATTGCCAAGCACGACAGATTCGAAGGCACGTATCTTATACATCTGCATTATCCCTGCGATTCTCATCCAAGTATAGGTGATGTTTCCATGACTCGTCAAGACTTCAACATCGGTGACGATGTTCACTTCCAAATCAGTCTGTTCGACGAGGTGCTTCTTTCAACAGTTTTTAGCGTTGCACCCGCTCACGAGTTACAGTTCCTCTCTGCCATTGCAGAATTTGGCGATGATGACCCGGTCCATGGTCCTAAGTCCATTGTGAACATGAAAGTCATGCAAGAGTTCAAGTTCCAACGTTTCCAAGAGGCTCAAGGACAAGACAATGCGGTTCGTAGAATGAAATGTAGACTGCAATGGATTCTGACAATGCACTCGACTTTCTAGGTCTCTTTCCACGCCAGCAGAATTGCCTCCAGTTATAACGAAGCCGCATTCATCCTAACATTCTTCGCCAATGGTGAGACTAAACTGCTGTCCAATAAGATCTACGTAACTTAAGCACCATCAGGCACGACCGGCACTCTTAGCAAACAAGCTTTGACATCGATCTTCCAGAACCAGACCTTCGCACCGAATTGGTTCCGCCGGTCATCTCCAGGAACCTTCGATTTCATCGTCGATACCGCCATGGAAGTCTTGAACGCTCATCCTATCCAGCCCGGTGCCAACGTCAACGGAGTCTACGAGCTTGATCCTCCTTCCACTGCTGTATGAACGTCTCTTGAGCCGACTGCCGATCTGCTGACATGTTTGCGATAGTGCAACGCTGCTTACTCTGACTTTGTGCTCAACAATCTCCCGCACACCCTGAACAACGTGACCGGCACTTTCAAGACAAATGTCAACACCCTATTGAACATTGTCGCTACACCTTTCGGGTGCCCTAAGCTTCTCCCAGCAGGCCCTGTTGGTCAGTAAGAGGGCCACAAAGCAAGGAACAAGGGGCAAAAGAGAGCTTTTCTACGCTTGGAGTGTTCAACAGAATGATCTCGGAATCACTCAGACTCAGAGATCACTGATTTAGAGGAAAGTCTAGTCAGCTTAGCAAAATTCGCTCATGCATATTCGTATTCAATATATATTCTTGGTGATCATGATCTTCGCGAGCTCACAAGCGAGACGGAAGCTTTCTTTTCTTAGCTTTGTGCCTGTAACGGAGTTATCGGCAAACGTGGCCTCCTTCCATGATGAGCCGCAAGCGCGATGCAGTCTCAGTCATCGACTCCGTACGAGGATCCAGAGCGAACGCTAGAAGCCAGGACTGACTGAAAATGAAGACTGGGATGACTATTGATCCTGTACGCGGCTGGTCATGGGATGTGACGTCTTCAAATGGCTACGACCGTGTTATCGACGTGTGAATGGATGTCGCGACAACGAGCTCCAACCGGATCCATGAATCCATTGGGTACGATGATGATGCTTCTGCGGGGTACCGCGTCCTATAAGAAGTCTTGGCCCATGTCGTACCCTCTGGCTTATCTGACTTGGGCCTCTTTGACCTGGTCACTTACGACTATCTGACGACCAGCAAGCATGTCGATTGACAAGGAAAAGGAATCCGTGATGGGGAGTGTCTCGCAGGAGGAGAATATCTCGGAGAAGAGAGAGCTGGATTTTGGTGGAGACTCAACGCTTCCTCCACCTCCCACACTTACAGCTGCGGAGGAGAAAGCGTTGTATAGAAAAATCGATCTTAGGTACGGAGTCTTTGATTTGAATTGACGATGAGCTGACGCAAGGGGAGTGTAGACTGATGCCTATTCTGAGTTTAATGTACCTCCTTTCATTTATGGATCGAGGAAACATAGGTCTGTATATGCTATTACAGCTCTCGGATTATAGGCTCACTATAAATCTCGCGGAGGCAATGCCAAAATCCAAGGCTTAACGACACAACTCCATCTTGTCGGAAATGAATATAACATTGCATTGGTATGTTCCTAGCCTTCCTCGACATGGATCGGCATCTGACATTTACATCAGACAATGTTCTTCATTGTACGTCTCAAGACGCGACTGGAAGAAAGGTCATCTAATGAAGCCATCCGATACAGCCTTATTGTCTCTTCGAATGCCCTGCCAAGTATGTGCCCCCTTCCTGAGCCTCGACGGAAGCTGATCCTCCT